TCAGAGTATATATTGTTTACTAATGAAGTAGAATCGGCTGAGGGGACTCTAAACTTTCTTGATTGTCTTGTAAAAGGACGAACTGACGAGAAACCGAAGCTTCCAACATACAGGAAACCGACACACTCTGACAAGTATTTGAATTTCCAATCAGATCATCCAACAGGAGTGACAGTTTCAGTAGCTTTAAATCTCGTAACAGAGTTAGAGGCATTACAACAGATAATGATGATATGGAGAACGAAGTATTCAATATAAAACAGATTTTGATTGGAAATGGTTATCCGGAAAAGCTACTAGGTAATATTATGAATAAAAAGGAGCAATAGGGAAAACAGAAAATTGAAAAATCTTGGCTATCGACGATAGCCATTCCATATCGAAAGGACACAGCTGGACAACTGCAACGACTATTTGCTTCATAGGATATTACAGTCTATTTCAAACCCTCTAATTCTCCAGAGAAAGCATTGGTGAGTGTCATAGATATGGTTCCCAAAATGTCACCAAGTATTTGTGTCTATAGGATAGTGTTTAGAAATTGAAGCATGCTACATAGGGGAGAGCAGTAGACAGGTGAGGGTCAGAGTGAATGAACATAGACTATGCACGGAAGGTCCATCAAGAAATGAAGTAGAATTAAATAGTCTAGAGATAAGGTCGTCTATAGCATGCAGGTGACAGAAAGCGGATATGAGATTGATTTCGACAATGTCGATATTTTTGGGAGAGGATTTCATTGACATAAAGAAAGGTTGACCTCTGAAGCCTTGCACATTTTAACCACATCAAATGCAGTGAATAGGAAGGAGAGAAGGGATAGACTTGTCACCTATATGGCAAACTCTAATGAACCAAGACAGATGGAAAACAACAAAAGCCTCCATGATCCTCCATGACCTTAGAAAAGTGTATTATCATGTTAATCGCATGTGAATTGACGTGTTTTCCACTTGACATATAACATACATTCACACACACACACACACACGCATACAAATCTAATTTTTACAAATCAACTATAGAAGAGTGAACACAACAACAATTTGACATTAGTCGTTACAAATATTTGTGATGACTGCTTACATATTTCTATTGGTACAATTGTTTACGGACAAGTAACACTCAAATCAATTGACTTCAATTTATGTAAAAATTCGTTGACTACATATTTTGATGATTAATAAAAATCCGAATAATTCTGCTGAAGAAGCTGTGGCTTACACACAGAAACGTTCAGAAAAATCTTGTTCTGATATTTTGTTAAGCACGCTGGGATTAATTTCAATAATTTATAATCCGTATTTTGACTTTCGATTTTCCACATAATGGGAACCTACTTATCCAGTCCAGTTCCATCAGATTACATATACTGTTTTGATACTTGTGACAAAATTAATGTTCGTGTTACTCTTTGGCAATCGGTTGATTAACATAGTACAAGAACCTGATAATTTCATCTACTGGAAACAGAGTATTTTTGTTTCTTGATCAAAAGAGGACAGGAGTATTTCTAGTGAAATATTGTTCTCAATAACTCCTACTTCAAGCCTTAGACTTACAGTCTCAAGTATTGTTAGAACACGATAGTCAGTAAGGACAAACTAAAATCTCGTGAGAGACTGACTTGTGTTACAAGAAGATAATGGAATAATGGTGAGTTATTGTGGTATTATTTTTACTTTATTCCTCTGCATTTCGAGGATAACATGGGGAGGGCTTCAAACTTGCCCTCTGAAGTTTCAGTGGCAGTGGTATTCCCGTTACAGTGTGAGATTGCTATCTTCGTGCCTAACCTTACCCGTTTACTGTGATTACTACAGGCTAAGCGAGGTCCAAGATGTTACCAGTCTGTGAACGAATCCCTGACAAAGTGAATTGTTGACAGGCAATCTATCGTGGACCACCAACGAGGATGAACAAACGGATGTGACACGTTCGTGAACTGATAGTCGCCAAAAGTTTAGGATTCAAGCGATTACTTGCAATCAGTGTTGTGAGTCAAAATACGGATGCCTCTGCAAATAATTGAGATGCACTGGTCTTACTGAGTTCAAGGGATTACAAATAGCGGTGATAATGACAAAATATAAAAATAATAATAATAATGATAGTAATTATAATGGTGTGGTGTGAACACAGCAGTCATATCAGTGAAAGATAATCAAGTTCCAATGATCGAATAATATAATGATGAAGTAGTGAAGAATTTAACATGATGGAGAGAAAAGGATTGTGTGAACACATTAACAAATGTACTGCGTCAAATCTCGTTTGAGTAACTAACAATAATGGACTTAATGATAAAGATCATGAAATGGAAAATATCTGAAATGAAATAAAATGTCTGTTAAGGAAACAAAGGTAGGTACGAGATATGAATAACTGGATAGGTGTGTCAAATTGCACATCTTAATCAATGCTAATGGAAAATATGTTGACTTCATTATAGGCTGAGGTGAACATAGTGAGTGACTGAAGATAATTATTCTGCATACAGAAGTCAGATTTCCTGCATTTGTTTCCTACCGTCTCGACTACCAGTTGGAGACCAGGTCATGCTCCTCCCCTTAATAGGTTATTGAGAACACAGTGAATCATCGACAGCTGCACTGGTTACATTTGATGTCGACCATGCACCGTAAGAGATAAAACCAATATCAGCTGTGTAACTCCATTTCACGAGTGGTGTTTTCTCTTCGCCTATACAGTGGTCAAACAGCTGTGTCTTTTTCTACAGTTTAGTGAATCACTGAACTGGAGTGAAATTATGAAAGTGGATATGCTGACTACTCTAAGGACAAATACACTTCTCCTCAAATATCCATCTATCTTCTTGGAAGTCAACACTAACACCAGACTTGTGTAGAATACTACTGGCGATAAAACCACAGTATAAGAAATTATGGAACTATGTAAACAAATGTGGAAGTTATACGACACGTCAATATGACTATGAGCAATGAACTGTGCTCGAACATCATCAGAAAATAAATCATGCTGTGTTTTATCAGATGAAATAATAATATTTTGGAAATAACTTATCCTCTCTATCCGTTGTGTCTAGTTAGATAGAGTCTTTCACATCACTGATAACTTGATGAATTCCCTCCTATTCACTCTATCTGATATGGTCAAAGCTTGCATATCGTCGTAGGTCAACCTTCTTCCTAATGTGGATGGAAAGCTCTTCATAGTATTTTGATGATGTCGAAATCGATCTAACGTCCCATGTATATCACGTGTATTGTCTTGTTCTACCGCTTTTCAAAACATTTTGTATCCACTCCAATCATGAGTCGACACCTTGTACAGAGTTCATGTTCATCGGCTCTCACTTTCACTTGTCTACTGCTTTCTACTACACATAAAACAATAAAATGGAGTTTGATTAACCGATTGCTGTTTCCTTAATCACAGATCCACAGAAAACACTTCTAGTCGATGATTCTACCGCTCAACTGTGAGTCGTATCATGCACTTTTGACGACGATGACTTAAGCTTATGAACTGTGGACAAATTAACACGCCTGCTACTTGCAAATATCACGGATATGACACAAAATGAAGTGGTGAAATCAATCCAGATTAAGTTTGTAATTGTCTCTTACAAATTTTTCAACAGAGATCAATTACAGAAAGTAAAGTAGTTCGTCAAACATGTCTGAGCAGGGAAGGTGTAATTGAACTATTTAGTGTTCCAGTTTTGTTACTCAACCTCGGTGGCGGTATAATGTTTATTGCAAGGCTGCTGTGATTTTAGTTCACTCATGGTCGTGCATTGAATCGCGGTAATTGTTAGTGAATCACTCATGGGTAACTGCAGAGCTGGTATTTGAACAACTAAAGCCCTCGCTATGTGTATGACAGCACTACCTCCAATTTATCATTTTGTTACGGTCGAGATTGACTATCCTCTACTCACTTCCTATTCCTATAACTGCTATTATCTTCACCAATCTCTCATTGTAATTCCCTTCTTTTCTGATACAAACCTTATTGATGCACTCCTCTTTCTGCAGTACTAGAAACCCTCATCATTGTTCAAGGGTTCCCTCGACATGTCACCGAGTAATACGTTTCCATTCAGGGAAGTCAGTCACTGGTATCATTCCGAAGCACGCTTTCATGACCTCATGTCATTCTACTCATTAATTATCACTTACTGACTGAAACACTCGGTAACCGATGTACCGAAGTGGTTAGTGATTTCGAGGTAGTCTTCGTCATGAACTCACAACACTTAGTATTTGACTACCATCCAGGGATTCTCATTCTATCTCTCATTCAATGCAAATTGCAGAACGAAGATTTCGCTGCCTATAACAGGACAGAATGTACCACTAATCGATATAAGTAGTTCAGAAGCATTCAAGTCGAACAGTGGTGCTTGCAAGCCGATGTTTACATTGCATCAATCTGAGTGGTTTCTAACTGCACACATCATTTGGAAGTATGCTCCATTTTGTTATCTCGTTTGTATTCTTAATTGACAATTATGCAATCAACCAGATTTGTGAGTCATCGGGCTTTGAAGGAAATAATGGTGAATTTCCAACTCAGTATACGTTATTTTAGATCCTAGTGAGTTGTCCTACTCAGAAACTGCGAAATCCCAAAAATATCCATCCGACCAACTTCCTTCAACAAAAGTTAAAGTAAATGGCATGTTTTTAGGCTGTTCGAGAGACACAAGATTATGGGAGATCTAGTATTTGAACACATTCATTCTAATGTATTTGAAGACGTCGGTTAACTTCAGTCTTCACTAAGCTATGAAACACAGACACCTTCGTCTCCTAACTCAAAATGTCTTTTCATTGTAAAGCATTACGACAGTATTCAGGAATAAAAAGTCTTCATTTAAATAAAACATTATTATTAATGAAAATAAAAATTAAGTGGAATGAAAGATCATTGCATCTTAAAACAAAAGTTAAACTACTAGGCTGCACATTTCATCTGCCTTCTTCGTTATCTTCAATTTATCATTCCGACACTCAGAATGCAGTTGCAGGCCTTTCTGATAAATACTTAGCCAATTTCGGTGAAATCTTCAGGAGATTCTCTCGGTGTTTGTGAATCTCAGGATATTTACCGTCCATGAATCCTTTGTCCAAGTCAGTCACGTGATCGATGGCTGCAATCAATACCAAATCAGCCAAAGTCACTTGGTCACCCACAGCTAATTTGCCTTTCGATTTCTTTAGCGATTCACAGATATCCTAGAATGAATGTGAAGAATAGAAAAACCAACCTTAGGTAAGGTTTCAAAAATCACCAGTGTTGTCAATCAATTCGGACTCGAGAAGAGAACAAACTGGTGAATTATTTCACTTTACGACAAACGGTTTAACAAAATTTGAATCTATGCAACAATGAGGCAGCCGCTCATACGAGAAACGCGTTCCCCTGTAGGATGGTTGACTAAATTAGCACGTATTTCAACAATATATGCTCTTTGACACTCGAATCTTAATACTCTAAATACTCTAATAAATAAGAAGCTGTGCTAAATGAACGACACTATTATACTATTACTTATGAATAGGGGAAAATAGTTAGTGCAGTACTAGTTGAAGCACAAACTGACTAACCAGCATGTATGAATTAGAGTGTAAAATTTAATTCGACAACGTATGTATATGCATACACTGTTAGGATATATTGAGCTAAGTGGCATCAAGAGGTAAACATACCACAAGCACATTTAGTTGTATGCTCACTTTTTATTCCGATTCCTAAATGATGTGAGGACAGTCAACTACACCTTATTACACATTGAGAAATCTAGTACTTGTAAGTCATATATGTCTGAACCAAGTTAACTTCGGTACATGATAAAGGTTATTTGTATTTCCCAATATCGTTCTGTTTTTCATTCATTGGGAAATACAAAAAACTAGTACTTCTTAGCTTATGTTTAAGTCATCCCAAACAATCTAGCCAACAAGAATTTAACCAAAAAAGGATGACTTGATTAACTGCAAGAACAAACTCAAACTAACTTCTTTCGGTGATCATCAGTCATGTGTATTCTAGTGAATACACGATTTCTCTGAAACTAAATTTCCGTTCAGAAGTGGTAGCAATACTCTTCATCTAGAAAAGTAGTGAATGAAAGTAGCTCATGAAATCCTGGGAATATACTTCGTAATCGTCGTTGGCGATTGTTTGCGAGAACGAATTCATACTACTGGAGCCATAAATCAAAAGATATTTGACAACTAACAATTTCCTACACGAAACCTGCTTGTACACCAGTGTTTTCATCAAGTCATTTTTATTCAATAACAAAGAAAACTTTACAAATCTCGAGTCAACTCACATTTAGAAGAATGGGGACTTTTCCACTAAATATCTCCTTGATGATTTTGATTTTCTCCTCTTCTGGTTTCATCAAGGTCTTGTAATATTCACTTTCAACATCTTGAACCTGCATATGATGGAAAGAATTTTTTAGAAAGGAAGTTACGATGAGGCATTTAAACAATCGGATAGATAATCAAGTATCGTTCTGAGCTGCAGTGCCATGGCTACTGATTATCAATTCACTATTCGTTCCTTTCAGCTTCTGAAGCTCATCTGAATCAGTGGTTGGGAATCACGTGAAATATTCCACTCTCTACAATTTAATCATAAGCGTCAAAAACAGAAGGATAACAGACTTTCGTAAGCTGTAAGATTACTTTACCGAAACTAATTGAATATGCTGCCTCTAAACCCTACATCTGTGTCGTACGAAGGCTTTAATCAAATAATGACGTGAATGAGTAGTCTGGAATTCAAATGATGTCAAATTACTTTGCATAGTGAAATGTACATTTAGATGAGTTCAGCCTGTTCTGCAAGGAATCCGTGATTTCCGACAATACATGAAATAGAAATACAAAAACGAATTCAACTGAGAAACCTTATCGATGTAATGAGAAACCAAGCTACTAGCTAAATTAGGTTCGAAATTTAGTAATGCTGCCTTACTAGTCAGTTCGTTGAGAGGCGAAGTCGATTTACCCCGGTAGTTCATAATTCACTAATCGAACTAATGTTCCACACTACTGAAGTTCACTTGAAAATAACACCACATTTTATTTTGATAACCGAATTAACATAAAACAAACTAATATTTTGTTGGCAACAATCATCCTTATTCTGCTGTCAATGTAGTCAGTAATGGATTCACTAAAGGAAACTGAAGACAGTTTACTATTTTCCTAGTTGGTCTTAAGCCCGATAGAGAGAGGAGGTTGAGAGTCCCACTAGCGATCCTAGATCATATTTCTAAAGGCAGAAAGAAATTCTAGACTCACCTGACCGATTAGCTTCTCAACACTATAGTACTCGTCGTCCGTGCTACCCATCATACCATTCTTCTTCGCAAAGAAACGTGCAATGGCCAAACTCTCTGATAACCATTTTTCTTTCCCATCTTTCTCAGTGATCTTCACTACAGGCAGACGTCCTCCAGGTATCGATGGCTTGATCTTAGGCCAGTTATCAAATGATATCCTTTCGTCTTCATACTCGATTCCAGCCGCTACAAAAGTCATTCGAATTGCTTCTCCACGTGCACGTGCATTAAAATAAAACAGCTGTAAGTAGCAAAAATAATATCACTTTTCATTCATGAATATCTCATAGAAGTTATTTTGATGCAAACACAATACTAAAGTTTGTCAATATTTCTAAGGCTGTTTATTGACCTTTAACATGGTGAAGGCGATTCTGACTCATCTTAATCATAATGATTGGACACGAGGACAGTATTCATGCACTAAACTGTGAACCAAGCTTCATGTGATGATGACTCACAAAACAAACATACAAGTAAGCAAATGAGTGGATGTTTGTTGATGCTGCGAACGGTATGAGATTTGGTTGAAGAACAACTGACTGTCAATTGAATCAGCCTTACATCTAACACAAAACAGTTAAGCGTCACTCGGCTTTATGCCCACTTTGTACATTCGATACAGACATACATACATGATATATATGCCTAGAATTCAACAAGTTAGTAGACATTATAGAATCCAATCCAATCATAAACTTGTTACAGTGCCGAGAAAAATGATCTGATATGATTTATATGTTGAGGTCACTATTCCTGTTCATTTATAATCTATGCTTACACTCATATACTATTTCCATTGTTACTACTGTGAATGTCAAAAGTGTTCCATGATTATTTCTCCCCACACTGCGTAATGTCAAGCGAAATCAGATACAATATTGTACTATATGCTGGGAGATCTAAGGAATAAAGCCACCACTATTATTATTATTATTATCATTTTCATTACTGTAAATATCCAGGCGTCGACTCAGACTGAATCACTAAAAAATTATTCAACATAATCCCAGTATCTTCAGATTGTTTAAGTCTTGTTTTCATTTTCTTAATACGTTGTGATTATTTCAAGTAATTTTATGATAGTGATAATAGGGATTATTTTTTTGTTAACTGTAGGTAGCTTCACTAAATATCACAAACATGAGGTGAGGAATAAACGGTTGTTCATAAAACTATAAGGCTTGTTTCGAGAAATATCTGGACAGAATTATTTACACTTACACAGGTAATCACGAATTGGACAGACGATATTCATACTCAAAGTGGTACAGACATTTTGCAGTGACGGAATATGTCTAACTTGAGTGGAGCATATACCAATCATGAATATTAAAACAAGGCAGCTTTATGCATACAAATGAAATATAATAACTATTGAGTGAATTATGAGGTCGCAAAACCAATCAAGTATATGATTTTAAGACAAACAATCAAGTAGCTTACTTTAATATGCTCTTTAGCCATTTTGTCCACAGTCGGAAGTTATCCAAATGAAATTTAATTTAATGAACACGCTTTAAATAGTCACGCATAGATTAACTTCACTCACGATAATACGCCTAGTATAGTTTCATTTTAATTCGTTGACCAATCATTGATGGCCTTTTGCTTTGTGAACTGTTGACCAATGGAATTGAGAAGAAGCGTTTTTGGCATACGGGACCTGAATTATCTTAAGGTCGTGCGACAAATATCTGTTTCTTGATTGGCGCATACGACAACTCAATGTTTGTGTGGATGAATTCAGAGTCATTCCTCTGGTGAAAATGAAAGCAGTCCAGAGAATGAATGGTTCGGAAACGACCACTTAACATTGAATGTAGCGTACTAGTTGCACCGAACCTACAATTATATTCTATATTAAGGTTTAATTGTCTTTATTATTATTATTATTTTGATTATTACTGTCAATTTGATTTACACACAGTGTCGGTGTAAGTATCATTTTGCTGTCCTGCTTGTATGGTGGAGAGAGTTTGTCAACGCTCACACTGTTTTTGTAGTTCATCAGGTGCGCCGTTTTGACCACCATTTTCATTTCTTTCACTACCATGGTTTTCAGCCCATCATCATTAGTCATCACCAATTGGATAAGTATCAGACTGCCAATCCAAGGGTATCTCATCTACATGAGAACGAACATATACGATATTCACAGAAATATGAAAGCCATCTAGACACAGCTGCATAGACCCACATTCATAGTCCTTCTGTTTTATTTACTTAATTGCTGCAAACATTTTAAGGGATGAGTTGTAGTCGGTGTACTACAAATTGGTAAATAAATAGACGAATGAAATACTGGGTATGTGATCTGAAGAGAAAAATAAAGATAATATTGAGGAAGTAATAATGTTGGGGTGTAAACACAGTGATGAAATTAGAGAAAGGTTATCAAGTAGTGATGGAACCAGGGAACCGATGAACCTGTTGTTTTACAAACACGAGATTCAACTTAGTTATTTAATCCCATCTCATGTTCTCTCTTATTGAGCAGCGATTCTTTGTGGGTTTAAACAATGACCGAAAGTTACTGACTATTATTCTGCCTAATATCCCAATACACTTTCTGGAATAATTTCAATTTCATTATATTGCGAACTCCATACAAACAAAGGTGGACTTATAACGGTAGAGTCTGGAGGGGATGTTATTAAAAACAGCAGTTTATTCTGAATATTCTTCTTCTCAATAAACTGTAGGAATATTCACAATTGCTTATATTTTCTTTAGTGTGCCAGGAGAAAGGTTTACTGAATGTATTGACATTAGGGATCGATGAAGGTTTCTCAGGCGCCTCAATTGAGCTGATGTGATGTCAGTTTGTTACGGGAAAATGCCTACTGCATAACCGTCCAGATAAGAATCAGCAGTACTTTCACTCAACCATGCATCATCTCACACTTTATTCTCAATCTACCATTTGGTCATTATTATTTTATTGAAGAGGTTTATTAATCAAACATGATGGCTTACTGATATTAATGCAATTTAAAGGAGTCATTGCGAGAAGATATCATCTTGTGGTTTCTCTGCCATCGCCTTCCAACCAACGTGGTTGAGATTATACAAACTGTGTTCACGATTTGATCCAATATTTGCAGAAAAATTGTGCGCCGAGTGAAAAGTAGACGTATGCAGAAATTTTATTTGATAGGTGATGTTGGATTTCTATTCAGATTGATTGCATTTGCGCTAGGAGCATGTTCTTTCTGTCGACATTGCTTCTACGTTTATCTGTGTCCTTGAGAATTTAAATCAAGTTGCGATAGAATGTGCAGCATATCATCCACAGGAAGTGAGCTTAATGCAAATGTGTCTGTGAAGACTGTGAAGATGAAATAAACCGTCAACTAGCAAGTCAATACTAGTCAATCAATCAATCCAATGTACATCTCAACTGTTCTCACCAATATTGACTATGATTTCTTCACCGTCAACTCTTTCGTTTTTATGTTAACTCTGTATTTGTGTATTTAGTGAATTAACCTAGTAAAGTGTGTCGTTTCTGTCTTAATTTCATGAGAGTCAGATAGATGAATATTACTCAACATTGAATGGCTTAAATTAATTGTTTTTTTTTTCAATGAAATGTTTATTCACATTAGTGTCATTTTAAATGTGACTTATTCTACAATTTACAGGTTAAAGAAGCTCTACTCATACTGTGTAATTGTATTCGTAGCTACTGCAAGTAAATTGTAATTTTCTATTCAAGCATGAACACAGTGAGACTATTTGAACACCAGTGCTATAAGAGAAGACAAAGAAACAAATTGAACTGATAATTAAAAAGAAGATGATATTAGAGTGTACTACTAAAAGAAAAACCTAACTGAGAATGTTGTTGAATATTAAATATTAATATATTAAAGGTTGAATAGTAGATGGGTGAATAGTCAACAGGTGTAACATGGATAGGTGAACAAGGTGGAAATGATTTGGCGTATTCAGCTATTCTGTGTAGATAATCTCAAAACTCAGCACACACGTGCAGGTGTATGAGGTGGGTTGATTAGTTGTCCCAGTATGAAACCCTCAGGGATTTTCAAGGTGTGCGTCAGCTGAGAAGATTGACTTGCTGCAGACAGATATTTTTGACAGTGAGTGTCCGTGACATCATGACGCGTTGTGGTGAATATCATCAGCTTCAGACATGACAATATGATGATATATCTAGTAACTTGGATCCCGATAGACAGTAAAAGTACACTGGTTATCAATCACCACTGTCATTTAACGTCGAGATGGAATTCCGGATGGAATGTTTTAATCAGTGTCAAATCAAAGAAGGCTTGGTAGGCTGAATGTTCTTACTGACCCCAGTAGATAGAATAATGTAGCGCATAATAACCCTCCATTGACTTTGAGATCAACTATATGGGTCACTCTTGTATATTCGGCTTAGTCAGTCTATCGGGACTTAGGCATTTAGCTTAGTGAAGGATGATGGATCACAGAAAGTTGAATAGCTACAAGAAAATCCCAGAAATTGCAATGCACGCTCTAAAATAACTATGCAGTAGTGTGAGAAATAGCTACAGCTGTTGGAAACAATGTATGTGGGTAGGAGGAGAAGTCAACCGCTAAATCTTCCTTCATCGCGTCTACACCTTACAGGTACAATGTTAATGATGCAAGGCCGATACCAAAGAAGCGGAAACTGTTACTACCAATAAAATCAAGGGAAATGAAATAATGGAATTTATATCAGTGTCGTGATATGATTGTGAGCATTGAATTATTCTTGGAATGTCAGAAGTGAATAATGCAGTATCACTGTGCATTTTCGTCAAGTAAAACTATCCTTCGATAGCATTCAGCTCTCCTACTAAGCCTAAATTCTATTCTTATGTCAATGGAACTTCAAGTCCACTTCAAATATTGACGATTTTGTCCCGTTTTCATGGGAATCAGTGATTTATGATTCATTATAATTTGAATTAAAGTCAGTTTAGCGTTTAGTCAGTCTAGACTCCAGTCAGCATTCCCCTACCCATATGGCTCTTAAGGGCAATTTACGCCTCTCGGCTTTTCAGTGTAACCTGAACAGATTGTCATCATAATTCCAGATATTGTGCTGCACCACTTACTGCTGTTTGAGTGGCATTTTAGACGATAAGGTAAAATGGGACTGTCTAGGCATATTTTTAATGTCAGTTAAGACGGAGATGGTAGACAATTATAATTGTAGGAACCTGAAGAGGATTTTTTGAAAAGAATATTCTTTGTCAACTTAACTTTTAATTCACAGGATTAGTCACATAATTATGGAGACAGAGACGCTGATCTGTCCATTACTGATATGGATTTTCGATAGACTAATTTTATAACGAAGTGTTACTGATTTGTGTAAATTGACTAGAATGCTCCTCTAGACACAATAGTGTAACCAACAATTCACCTGAAATTCCCCGGACAGGTGTCAGATTTAATAGCTACAGCAACAATATGAGATAGAGCCCGAGTAGCTCAGCGGTAACGTCTCTGACTGGGGCACTGGGTGATGTTGGTTCGAGTCTCAGAAGGGACATAAGGTCCTTCAGGGTTGCAGATACGCCTTGCTGTTGAGTGCCAACTAGCACGAAACCTAGGTCCAAGGCTTCCTGCCGATTGCCTCCAACTATCTAATATCCTCAAATCAAAGTGCACCGTGATGATCAGTTACCTGGAATATTGTCCACATTGCAAGACCTGACTGATTGATAGAATTCAGTCTTCAGAGAATATAGGACTAGACACGTCACACTAGTTACTAGTGTTCAATCAAAAGGAGGGAACCATTTTATTATTCACCTACCGTAATCAGAAATTTAAGCAATGATTAAATGATCAATTTCTGGTGGATTGTGTGACCCTGAAAATCTTCCGGAGTAAACTAACCAAATCTGTTCAATCATGTTATCATATCTGTGTGTGCATCAGTTGGTACTTACACGTAACAACGATAGGCTACTCTTTCTAGCAACCAGCAATATTGGCGAACAGCAGATGAGCTATTTTTCTATGTCAAAATATTATTAACTATTAAACAATGAGTGGTAATGCAAACCTTAAAAAGCTAAGGTGATCAAATAAACTGAAATTTTCTTTTCTGGAAATTAAATTCTCTCAAAATTATTCTTAAATCATGGTTGAATATTTAGTAAGTGTATAATATACACTAAGGACACGATAGTTCTAGTTGTAAACATCCTATATTTTATTACCTACCTAGAGAAATAAGAATTATTATTATTTCCTTTAATTCCTAGGGGAACCTAGGGTTTCAGCCGCACGTCTTCACTGCGTTCGGTTCTCTGTTAGAGTTTTCACCTAGCTACAAGTCTGTCCAAAAGCTGCCATCTCCTCTTCACATGACATCCTCCAAGTCACCCTTGCACTGATGACAAACTCGCCGCTTCCCTTTCGGGTTCCACTCGAGCAATGGCTTGTCCAGTGATGTCACTTGCTGGTTTCCTCAG